ATAATTTTCAGCTGCTGGTTCCCATTATGTCTTTCTCTGCTATATTAAATAGAACTTCAGTACCCAATACTTAAACTCCATGGAGTATTTACACAGTGTAATACAGTCGTTCTCATGTTCTTTTCTGTAAGATAAACAGATTGAACTGTTTATGTCTCTCACCAGTCCTTGAATCATTTTGTGGCTCTTTTCTGCAACTCTCCAGTTTTCAAATGTGCAGTAATCCAGTTCTGACTCCACTAACAGTATATGCAAAAGTAAAGTCACCTCCCTGTTCCTATTTGCTACGCCCTTGTTTATACATCTACAGATCATACTAGCCTTTTAAGTCTCAGGATCAGACTGGGAGCTGATGTTCAGCGGGTTGTGCCTGGATTTCCTTTCAGAGCCACAGCTTCCAGAACACAAGTCTGGCTTCCAGTCCCTGCTCTTAGATATGTGATCTTGCAGGTAGCTCCATCAAAATCTACTTTATTGAAGTAAGCTGAGTTTGCTAGATCTCTGTAGCCATCTTGCCCTTGTCATTATTTGTCTCTCCACAGAACCTTTACTTCTAGATCATTTATAAAGAAGTTGAAGAATATCAGTTCTGGCACTGGTCTCAGATGAAGCCCCTTCTGACCCCTTTCCAGACATACACTCATTCAGTGATTTCTGAATCACAGCTACTAATCAAAGTCAGTTTAGGGGAATATTTCTGCAATGCTGGGATTTATTAAAGGTTAGTACTGTAAGTATTCCACAAGTTTTCCAAGATAATGATTTCAGGAGTAACTTATCTGGCTCTGCCACTTTCATTTTTTTAAAAGGTTGCCTAACTCAACCCTCCCTTAGCAAATAGTCCGAAAACTGACTGAAAAAGTATTTTATTGTCTTCATTTGATAAGTCCATATTCTTAAAAACAAACTAGAAAAAAACTGTCCAGCATTTCTGCCCTTCCAGAGTTTTATCAGCCTTTTTACCATCACCATTTAGTGACAGTTTCCAGTACCGTTACTATGCTTTCTTTTCCTCTCAATATACTTGAAAAAATCCTCCTTACAGTTGTCTTGGATTACTCCAGGTTATCCTGGCTTCCTCTGTCATTTTCTACTCATCATCAACTCCAATTTATATCAATCATTAATTGTTCCCAACTTTCTGCAATTCCTTTTATATTCCTTTTTTTTTTTTTAATTGTAATTCCTGCTTTTACTCCACCAGTGAACTGTGGTAGGCTTTCAGCCAAGAGCAGCTATTTTTTGACTGGGAGTCATGACTTTTGAATAAACTTTTCTCATAGAAATCCTGTTTCCACACATTTCTTTTCCTATCTCCATTTTTCTTTCCCTTTACCTCTGACATACCTCCCCTCCTGCATCAGTTTTTAACAGTGCCCTGTTGCTGTTCCTTATCTCCATATCAAAGCGATCTGAGTCAGTAATCTGTAACAAACCTTCAGAGTCAAGTTATTGCTTTTCTCAACTGTAGTTTCAAAATGCCAAAGAAATGAATTCTCCATCCCTATTTTGCTTCTTCCCAAGCTTTGCATTCTACACTAGTACCTTAGGCTTCCTCCCATCCCCTTCCTTTACCCTTGCAGAATGTGGCATCGCCTGACCATGGTCACAGTAAAATCATCCTTGCCTCTCCATTTCCACTTTCCCCATCATGCCAATGCTTGACAAGTGACTATTTTTTCATATCTACACAACATTAGGTCATCAAGTGAAAATGCTGTAGGCATGCTAGGAATTATTGCTATTTGCTTTGCCATTCCATTACCTACAAGCACACATAAAACTGCCACAACTCTAGTTCCTGAAATGCTATCGCCCAGAGCACCAAACTCCATGCACCAGAAACGACCACACTGGCAATCTGCCAGCAGCTGAAAGGCTACATCTAATTGTGCATAAAGTTGAGCAGATTGTCTGCTTAGACTAGAGCAAACAAGCTTATCTTTAATGCAGACATATGGCCAGCAAAACCTACAGATCCCAGCATGCAACATTCTGGCCAGCTGGCCATTTGGATCAGAATGAAGCATTACATGATCTCATACTGTGGTGACAGAAGATCAGTATTGCAACCCCTCCGTGTTCAAAAATCATGAGTCAGGCCACTCAAATTCATGAGTTTGGCTCAGGGAGCTGGAGATTTTAAAGGGAATACAGCAATTTCATTTGTATTTGAGACAGGGTTCACATTCTCCCACTGTTCTCTACAATCATTTAAAAAATGTATTATTTTTTTTTTAATAAAAGCTAAGTCATACAGTCACTTGCCTCTGGGAGCTGAGACACCAACAAAAAACAGACTCACAGTATGGTTAGGGAAGGCACACCAACATATTCTGAATTCTTAAAGTGCACAGATAACCTGATAGATAGACACACAGTGAGAATCTGGAAAGTGCAGTCACCACAGATATCACTGGTAAAGATAAGAATGGCAGACAGTTTTGTTCCAAAACCCCAGGTTTTCCAATCTTGCACTAAACTCTCTGCTTTTACCATTGTTTCATTTATTCAACCCAGTTTTAACTTTCTTCCCACCTCTCAGCTGTCATATAAAACCTTCTCTCTGCCTCCAGCTTTCCATTCTGTACGACACCTCTGCTGTCCTATAATGACACACCATACATTGTATGACAGTTACCCCCTTGACAGCCATCACAGATGCTCAGTCTCCAATTAATAAACTATTCCAACAGAGTTGTTACTTTTAGACAGTGTCTAAATCTGCCCTTAATCTCTCAGTCCTGTTCTTTAAGTCTTTTAAGATGCTAGGGGAATTCTGGCCCATGCAGGCTGGGAGCTTCACTCAGATGTTGCTCACCCTCCATCCACTTCTTGTGTATTTGTTGAGGGGAGAGATGATTCTGGCTTCAGTCACAATTCTAGATGCAATAGATTTGGGAATTCCTACTTCCGCTCTGACAATAACTGTTCAAGAGAGGATCTATCCAGGAAAGGCAAGAAAAGCTTCAGGTCAAAATGAGATTTGCCAGAGCTACCAACAACATGTCAGGAAATAGAAAAAGCACTATCTGCTCTGGGCCAGGACCAAGATGCGCTAGCAGAGTTGAAGGAAGGTGATCCAAGAACCAGTGTTTGAGTGCCTTGCAATCAGGAGTGAGTGACTTTGGCAGACCCATGCTGATAAAATCAGCAGAAAGCATGTGTCTGCCCTCTGTTCTTTTTTTTTCCCCACATTTTCACAAGCAAGCAGTACTTTACGCAACCTGAATGCTTGTTAAAGGGAGGTGGGTTGATTTTTTTTCTGCTCCTATCTGCATGTGATAGAGTGCAATTAGGGAGGCTACAGGCCTTGCTGATCCTGCAACCAGTTCCTGTCTTACTTCCTTCTCCTGACAAGCTCATTCCATCAATCCCCAGGTTCAGTCCAAAAAAGAGCTGCACAGGCACTGTGATGAATCTTCTCTTCCATTAAGAAGCACTCAGCTGCACTTGAGCTCAGGTAGTCCTTGAGAAATAACTTTTTTGGAGGAGACTGAAATCTGCACTAATAGCAACAACCTCCAGGGACGGGGGCACAGGCTCACGCTTAGACAGACCTCAGGTTGCCACTGGAAGACAAATGTGACAGTGGCACAGCTGAGCCCCACTGTCTATCAGCCACCGAGTAAAACACAGCTACAAGTCAATTTGATTTAAAGACTTCCACAAAACTGCCATGTTTTTGTCTGACATACAGCATGGTCTGCAAGTAAAACACAGCTACAAGTCAAATTTTATTTAAAGACTTCCACAAAACTGCCGTGTTTTTGTCTGACATACAGCATGGTCTGCCCATTGCCTGGGCCCTTGAACTAGATGAGAAACTGCAGTATGAGATCTGTCATCTTTCCAAGGTGCCATTCTCCATCACAGCTGAAGGTGGCTAAAACCAGCCCTGTGATGCAAATTAGCCTTCAGGCTCTTAGCCCCTGGAGCCTGTTTTCTAGTGGAACATAGAAAGCATGTCAGATCTATGTCCTGCTGCAGTGGCTCTGTGGTCAAAAATGTTCAGAATACAGGCAGGAGCTCACTAGGTTCATTCTCAGTTCTTTTTTGCCATAGGAAAGATTGGGAGATATACATATATATATATATATATGAGTAAAAGTCTGAAAAGCTATTCATAGCACTGACAATTCCCTGTCCTTCCAGCCAATTCCCTCTGGCACAGGTAGCCTACTATCCAATCCTGCTACTCCAGGAATAAAATAGCAAACCTAAATTCTGATTGTGTCCCAAGGATCTTTCTAGACAGCAGGACCTGGAAGTGCTTGACCCAATCCAAAAAATGCAGCAAATTGGCGAAAAGCAGTTAGAAACAAATAACAAGTCATTCCCATCTCTTTAGAGAAATATCCTGCCAGAAGAATCCCTGGTAGAGGCTTTAAATATGTTTAACAATTCTCCAGCAGAACTGTAGAGATGCGAACTGAATATTCATTCCAGTATGCACATCTTCCTTTCTCTTTCCACAGTGTGTAATCCTGCTAGAGTACAGATTATTCCACGCTACAGCACTCTAACACAGTTTATCAAAGGAAAGTTCAATTCAGCCTCTCAAAGGTATCAGTTTAGTGTTAATGAGAGCCCATTTAGATAAAGAAGAGCAATACTGGGTGGGACAAGAGGTGTGAAATACTTCAAACCACATAAATTCCTCCTATCACTGGTGGAGTTATCTCTCCTGGTAGGGACACCAGCTGTCACAGGCTTTACAGAAGTCAGGAGGGAATACAGCACTCAGGCAGGGGGGGTAACTGCTGGTATGATCCGAAGATCTGTTGTGAGGATGTGACAGCCCTGGTACACTTACATTTGACCACTGTAAGCTTAAAAAAAGGAATTAAGTACAATATTTAGTAAAGGATAAAGTTCCTTTACAGATACACAGGAGATTCTCCCAAGCATACCAACTCCAAGCCTTGTCACCTGGGCATTTCCCAGGCTACCCAGACTTCCTTTCCTCTCATTGCATCTCGTGATTCTGCTACCTTTACCTCGTGGTGTATCATGCTCCAGAGAGTCTAGGAAGTCAATGGATGGGTCCAGGTCAGCCTTTTCCAGCAGGGTTTTATTCTTCAGGTTAACAGGCTCAGTAAAATGAAAATAGGAACTTAACTTTTTTGCCTCCATCAAAGAAAGACCTGCAAACAGCCATTGGTGACCATTAATACAGTGAGCTGGACTAACACACTTTATACCTTCAGATGTCATATTGTTTCTCTAACGCCCACAGCATAGGTCAGAATCACAATCTTTACCCAGTGGACTCCACAGAAGACCAAAGACTTGCCAGAAATGGGTGGCCATGCTCCCTGATGCTGTGTGCTACAGCCCATGCAGTCCCAGATAAGCAACAGGCATGAGTTGAGATCAACACTCTGTGCCCCTTTGGTTACATCCTATCTCTAGATGGAGAATTCACTGCAGCTATAATTGTTAAACACAGACAAATGAAACTCCAGGTTTAATGACTCAGAGCCATTACTGACTCTCCTCCCACCTTCCAGAGTTGAATCATGCACCTGAACATTACTGGCATTGGATTCTCTCCTCCCTGTTCATCTTACCCAAGGGAAAAAAAAAAAAATAAAATCAAAACATCAGCTAGAGAAAGTCATGTTAATTTACAGCCTTTATAATCAAAGTACAGTTGATCCTGATAAAGACAATGAGAATTTACCTTCAAAGTTTCTGTTTTCATGCACAGACCCAAGAGGAGTCTTCACAAATGCCCCCCGGGGGACGATACCAACTGCTCTGTCTATCAGTTCTATCGTAGCTACGAGGCGGGCCTCCTCCTTGATCACGGGCTTTAGAGGAAAACAGGCAAATTTTAAAGGCAGGGCTTTCGTTGTTGACATTTCTGAAAATAAACTCGAGGTGACAATAGAAACCACAACAGACTCATCAGTTTGGAGCCCAATGGCACTATGAGGAGCACCACAATTTAGATGTTCTTCTCATAAGAACAGAAGCGGGAGCAGACAGTGTAGGCGTCCCTCCCTTCATCCATCTTTTCCTCCCTCTCAATTAAGCTGCTTATGACTTGTCTATTCAGTTATAAAGAATGGTCCCTGCGGTTCCTGTGTAAGGCTTCAGTGAGGATCTGTACCGACTGTGCATCATAAAACATAAAGGTGAAACAATATTTCTGAGCCGTGTCTAACTCCAGGACTAACTGAAGCACAAATTCAATCCAGAAGCTGTTGCTACACGGCGACAGCACAGAGGAAATTGTCTGTATTCTACCTGAGTGCAGGCCCAGGCTGCTTATTACAAACGAGGAGCCACGACCTGTCCAGTGTGAGGGGTGCGACTGCAGCAAAGAGACTTTGAAAATGTTTTATTTTATTTACCTCCTTACCATCTTCAATCAATCCTTCAGCATCTTCCGCACTGATCTCAGCGTGCTCATACTCAAACGAAGGATCCCCCTGGAACCGGCCCTTCAGCTGCTCTGCCTGCGCAACCATCTCCTGGGTGGCCGGGGGCAGGAGGCTCCACTCCACGCAGTTCAAGCTGCCAGCGACAAGCACCGCACCGGCCCGAGGCCCTTCAAGCACAGG